TGCAGAAAATACTTGCTGATATATAAAATCGTGTGCCAGTACATCATTTTCTCTAAAGTACTGATGGAAGTAATGATAACAATGATAACAAACGTAACCATTGGTTATAACATATACAGTAAAAAAGGGAGTGATAATTACTTCATTGATTTCTATTTTAGAATGCACAAAATAATACAGGAGAAGGTATTTTTAATTGTATAAATGAAACTTTAAAACAAAGGTTTGAGAATGGAAAAATTGCTTATCATTTTCTTCAGATAATGCTAGTAATATGATTGGAAAGTTAAAGGTGTAGCATCATTATCAAAATGCATCAACAAGTATAATCACCGAGGTTGTCCATGCCACCTCTGCCATAGCTGCAAAAAAAAGCTTGAAAAATTAATGGACGGAAATTGAAATGTTGATAAGATATATATTTTTACTTGGAGAAAAGTTCGAAACGGAAGCATAGCTTCAAAGTTGCTCAACAAATTTTGGGACAGAATGCAAAATCTCATAAATTTTGAAATATTGCAGTACGAGGTGTTGTCTCTTTTTTAGAATCTATACAAGGATTTTGGAAACAGGGATGCTGTGATAAATTTTTTTGGAGATAAACCAGATAACAGTGTTAAAAAAATTTTACAGTCACCGACCACCAAATGGTACTTTTTATTTTGAAAATACTTTGCCTTTGTTGTTTATAACAGTAAATTAATTTGCAACAACAAGCTCCTTATATACATAAATTGAGAAGAGAACTTTTTGAACTTTAAATGAATTTATTTGTTAGATTCGTAAAACCATCAGTAATTTCTAAAGAAAATGAAGATGTTACTCTAACGTCTATTCCATTTCAGAAGTATAGTAAACAAAAAGAAATGAAAATTTAGTGATTGGTGCGGAGGAAACAAGACTATATTTAAAAAATGCCAAGTTGAATGAAAGTGAAGTGAAATCATTTTTCAATTCTGTGCGAGCTTTTTTTGTAACTGCATGTTCATATATAATTGATAAATTTCCACTGAGTGATCCATTTCTAAAACATACTGAAGTTGCTGACATCAATTTGAGAACTGAAGTCTCATTTTCATCTGTTCTTTACTTGATGAATACTTTTCCATCCATTATTGATGAAAAATGTCTTAATCAAGTAGAAATTGAATTTTCCATGTATCAAGTAGATGATTTGAAAGAAATTGTAGATTTGCGTATTGATATAGCATGGGGAGAAATTGCCAAATTAAAAAAATATGAATGGGTGTATTAAATACAAAGTATTGCCTTCTGTAATGCTTGCTGTCTTAATAATACCTCATTCAAATGCAGCTTGCGAAAGAATTTTTTCTATTGTTAAAAAAAATCAGACGGAATTTCGACCAAATTTAGGTCTTAAAACTCTTGAAGCAGTTTTGATTGAAAAAATAAATATGCAGGCAAATGAAGAACTGTGTTATAAAAAAAAACATTCTCAAAATCAGAACTTAAGCTTGCTAAGCATGCTATATATAAATCTTTGCATTCATAAATTATGCGTATTTTGTTTAATACTTATATGTATCATTCTTGGTTATTTAAATTTATTTCCCTGTAGAAATCATATCCAGAATAAAGATATGATTTATAGCTTCTGATTTTTTCTATGATTAGTAGTGATTTGAAAGTACTTTTTATTAGTGAATGCTTGAGGAGTTAAAAGAAAATTTCTAATTAAATGTGCATATAATTTACAAGGTATATTTTTAATTATTCAGTTTTATATGTATATGGATTTTAAATGTAATAAAATTGATTAAAATTAATTATTAATTTAAAATTAATGAATGGTTAATTACAACATACGCTACGCGCACATTTTCAAAGTTGTAAAAATGTCGTTCGCTCGTTGACTACTGACAAGGTTTGCTGAAGGTTGGAGTCTATGCAACCGTGAAGTCTTAGCGCAAGTAGTTAAACTCTAAATTAAAAGAAAATATTTTTTGGCGCAAGTAAATTAATTCATAGGTTAGTAATTTTCAGGGGGGGGGAACTACGCTTGGATTTTTCGCAATAATTTAAAAACGGATTTTCGTAGCTTTCTTTTTGTCAAAGAACATTTCTTCTTAACACGTTTCTCAATTTCTGGTACACATAGCGGAGAGGGAAATTCTGGCCGCCAGGTTCCGTCGCCAAATCCCTTGGCAAATTTTCCCTCCGCATTCTAGCGGCGTAATAGCATTTTACTTGTATGGAAAATTTTCTTCTTTACATAGACCAAAGAATTAGAGATTCTTTGCATAGATGTTTTTTGGTTAAAATAATCTCCATGTATGGATTTGGCGACATGATGATGATGCGCAGTAAACGGGTCATTTTGGTCTTGGCGACAGTTTTCAAAATCGTGCCAAAGCCTTACCGTATACTAGAATTTTACTGCAAAATCTTTTTAAACTTTTCTTTTTAATAAATACCTTGCCATTTTGCAGTAAAATAAAAAATAGTAATCTGTCATCTAGGCTAACCATGTAATATAACTATATTCGCTAAAATATCGTTGATTATTCTAATTCAATTTTTAAGTAATTATCTTTATTTTTATGTTATTCATATAATTTAATGATGCTTCTTCCCTCTAAATTTATTAATTATTAGTAAATAATATTTCTAAATTTCAGGAAATTTTCTCTGGCATAATCTTGAAATTAATTCTAGCAGTATGATGACATACCATCACGAAATTTAATGCCTATATTTTTTTCTTATGTATGCTGGGAACTAAATTATAAAATACCTCAATTTATTAAAATAGATTTCTTTCTTTCGTTTAGTTTCAGAATGTCTGCAAAAAAAGCCTTATTTTATTCCAGATTGGGAAGATTCTAATCTCAATCTTCAATGGAGAAAACAACAACTATTATAATTATATTTGTGTTTTCAAGTGTTAAGGTGCTTTTTTAAGAACATACCTCACACAAATTAAATTTACCTAAAATCTAACCTAACTATTTAGCATTGCGTTGTGATTTATAAGGACCGGATTAGCCTCGTGTTGAACTGGTGATGATCATGAGTAATAATTAAATAAAACATACATTTGTTATCCAATGTATATATCTTAAATTTTATTAAGTTTCTTAAGTGGAAAAGTAAACAAAATTATCAAACAAAGTATACCAAGAATAATTAAGAATAAATGTCCTCTGGGATTTATTGAATAATTAAGTGAATTTGCTACACAATACAAGTAATACCATAATTTACCTCTTAGCGTAGCCAACGTATATTACGCGGATAGACAGGAATTTTCTTGAAACACACCTGGAAAACCTGGAAAAGTCAGGGAATTTTATTCTCCTGTTTGAGTGGCAACCCTGAATGTAGGAATGTACATGATGAGTTATATACTGTGATTTACATTTTTAGCAAAAGTAAAAAATTTTTGGCTATCTGTTATATATAATATCTTGATGTGGAGAATCATAAAAGTTTTGTAATTTATATGCTATTAATCTACTATCTCATTTATTAAATAATGAAAAATATATGTATATTCTATCCTTTGAGGGAAAACTGATAGCAAGCACCAAATTTTGAATGCACATAGTCTTCTGTCCAAATATCTGAACCTCAAAGTTCAAAGTTGGCAAAGCATAATATATATATATATATATAATGATATTTTTAAATCACTTGATTAAATTGAATTCTAATCATATTGCTTAATAATTATGTTTGCGATTTTCTACCTAAATTGCATCCCTGGTCCTAAATTTTGGCGAAATCCTTTCTTTATTATAAATTATTTTAACTTGTTGGTGCCCAAACTCATAAATCTGTCATATTACCTAAAGTCCTTAAGAACACTCCTGATGAGAAGATAGCGTCACCTCGGGATTTCAATTAATATCGCTGATTGGATGAGCACCGTGATGCACACATATCTCTAAATAGGGTTACCATTGAGCAAAATGTAAAATATTTCATTTTTCTTTCACTTATAATCTGTCTGTTACTGATTAACAAACTGACTTTGATGCAGTTTTTCATTTGTATTCAATTACTAATTTCTAGATTATCTCAGGAAATTACACAAATTGCACTCATAAACATTATTCTATATTTTCTCTTTTCTATAATAGCTATTTAAGACAGCTGGCTATGCAAGCAGCTGGTGTATATAATGCATGGGGAAACTTCGGTTAGCTTTTCTACCTAAATTGCATCCCTGGTCCTAAATTTTGGCGAAATCCTTTCTTTATTATAAATTATTTTAACTTGTTGGTGCCCAAACTCATAAATCTGTCATATTACCTAAAGTCCTTAAGAACACTCCTGATGAGAAGATAGCGTCACCTCGGGATTTCAATTAATATCGCTGATTGGATGAGCACCGTGATGCACACATATCTCTAAATAGGGTTACCATTGAGCAAAAATGTAAAAATATTCATTTTTCTTTCACTTATAATCTGTCTGTTACTGATTAACAAACTGACTTTGATGCAGTTTTTCATTTGTATTCAATTACTAATTTCTAGATTATCTCAGGAAATTACACAAATTGCACTCATAAACATTATTCTATATTTTCTCTTTTCTATAATAGCTATTTAAGACAGCTGGCTATGCAAGCAGCTGGTGTATATAATGCATGGGGAAACTTCGGTTAGCTGTAACCTGCAATTATATATCTAAATTAACATTTTATGTTTTGAGATATTGTTAATTATTTGTTCAACCAACGAACCTGCAAATTTTGTGTTCATTTTTGAAATGCATCTTTTGAGTGATTTTATTTTGTTTAATTTTGGAATTGTATTTATTGATATTAGGGAAAATTTGCGAAATGAACGATAAGTTGTTTTAAATTTTTGGACATTTGAAAAACACAGCTTTTTTAATCTGTTAGAAAACGATAATACAAAAATTTCTATTGAAATTTTGAGTAATTTTATTTTATTTTATTTTATTTATTTATTATTTTTTTTTTATTTATTTTTTTTATTTATTTATTATTTTTTTTTTTTGTTATCCAGGTTCTAATGATGATCCTTGTGAAAAAGGCTCTCATTCCATTGCAAATAAGCCTATGAGGGCTGCTGATTATGCTCTTGTTGAACAAGAATTGTTACGACAACAGTCCAAAATTGACATGCCATCAAAATCTCTGAAAAATCAACAAGGCTGGTCTTCTCATTCTTTAGGTATTTTTAAAAATAATATTGCTTTAAAATAAAGCTTAAACAAAATCTATTATTGCACTCAATTTGAAATGTTTCATGCTGATTTTTATTAAACACACTTAAACTATTTTGCTCAATATTTTCTTTCTGGCTATGAAAAGATGCTGTAATGCCCCAAAAGATAAATAGACAGTGATAGATCACTAACATTAGACAGGGTTTAAAAAAAAATAAACTGCTATGGCATCATTTTTGTTATGTTACCATATAACAAATGCAGACTAACCCTCCAAAGATGAAAATGGCATCATTTTTGTTACGTTACCGTATAACAAATACAGACTAACCCTCCAAAGATGAAAATCAGTATTCTGAATATGTGTTGTGTTACATCACCCGACATTAAAAATGCAATATCAAGAAGGAGTGACCAGAAAGAAATGAAATTCGGCTGAGATACACAGCAACGAATATTAGTGATCTTTGTTTCGAAATGATTATGCATAAATACAGAACGAGAACAGAATTGGCTCAGTAGGTTGTAGAGCCACCTTAGACGGCAATACACGAAGCAACACATTTAGGTACAGAGTCAGTGAGACTATGGACGGTGTCCTGAGGAATGGCTCTTCATTCCCTGTGAACTATTTTCCGCAGTTCGTCTTCTAAATGCAGCAGTGGCAGGGTCTGCAAATGGCATCCAATCACATCCCAAATGTGTTCGATTTTTGAGAGATCAAGAGAAAGCGGGGGTGAGGTCACCTTGCACAGCACATTTCCTGATGTGAGCAATGTGTGGTTGGACATTATCCTGCTGACAAAGGAACATGGGCACTCCCTGAAGGTAGGGGAGTGTCACTGGCCGCAGCACATCATCATGTATTGTTGGGTTGTCATAGTGCCCTGAATACGAAATAGTGGTGATCTGGAATCATACGCTATTGCGCCGCAAACCAGGATGTTGCGTTAACATGTGGTGGGGCATTCCACAGTTTTTGCCACATTGGACCTGTCTTCACATCGACACTAAGCTCATATTGCGGCGACTATCATTGGAGAAACAGAAGCGTTACTTATCTGAGAACACGACCCTGTGCCATTCTGCCGTCTTTGAGCCTGGTACCACTGCAGATGTTGGCATCAATGATGTGAGGTCAGTGGCAGTTTTCTTAATGGACACCTCGAGTGCAGGCCACTGATCACCAAACGGCGGCAAATGGTTCTGGTCAATATGGGAACATCCAGGGTGTCTTGAACATGCTGCAAAATGGAGATAGAAGTGGCTTGCAGGTATGCCACCTTTTGTCTGCGTATGCGTCAATCCACGTGTGCTGACATCACTGGGTTGCACAGGCACCCCCCAAAAACTTGCCACATTTCTTTGTTCCAGCCATCGTCGCCACAGACGGTGCAGTGTGGACATGTCTAGGTGTCTGTCAGCTGAGATTTGCCATATGGGCCCTTATATCTTCTTCAATATGTGCTGGAGAACTGCTCATATCACATCATTCGCATAACTCTGTGATGTGTGTCTGCCCTGAAATTTGCATAATTGTTGAGCCACTCCTTCTTGATATTGCATTTTCAATATTAGGTAGTGTAACTAGCAGGACAAAGTCTGCAGAACTGAGTTTGAGCTGTAGGATGCGTGTTAATGCCTCTCATTTGTACTTTTGTAACAAATCTGCCACCACCAATAATGCATGCAGCAGTGTTATACAGGTTGAGTTAGACACACTTAGATTAAATCTGTTGCTGTATATTTTTCTGTATAATATTTGGAGGAAGGCATGGTAATAGGTTATTGTTACAATGTTTCAGGGAACTCTGTCTAACATGATGACTCCAGATGATGATCATATATTGTTGGGTTGTCATAGTGCCCTGAATACAAAATAGAGGTGATCTGGAATCATACGCAATTGCGCCGCAAACCAGGATGTTGCGTTAACATGTGGTGGCGTTCCACAGTTGTTGCCACATTGGACCTGTCTTCACATCGACACTAAACTCATATCTATCATTGGAGAAACAGAAGCATTACTCATCTGAGAACACGACCCTGTGCCATTCTGCCGTCTTTGAGCCTGGTACCACTGCAGACATTGGCATCAATGATGTGAGGTCAGTGGCAGTTTTCTTAATGGACACCACGAGTGCAGGCCACTGACCACCGATCGGCGGCAAATGGTTCTGGTCAATATGGGAACATCCAGGGTGTTCTTGAACATGCTGCAAAATGGAGATAGAAGTGGCTTGCAGGTGTGCCATCTTTTGTCTGTGTATGCATCAATCTACGTGTGCTGACGTCACTGGGTTGTACAGGCACCCCCCGAACTTGCCACATTTCTTTGTTCCAGCCATTGTCGCCACTGACCGTGCACTGTGGACATGTCTAGGTGTCTGTCTGCTGAGATTTGCCATATGGGCTGATTTACCCTTTTCAGTCCGATCACCCTGCCCCTCATAAAATCATCTGTCTGCTAGAACTGACTCTGCTTAAAACGGCCTGGCATTCTATACTATTACACACGTCCTCTGAGACAAGAACAAATTAACTTTGATGATTTCCCTAGCAGAAATAATGGCACGAAAATTAAACATTCTGAAGGTTCATTCCCTTATATCTTCTTCAATATGTGCTGGAGAGCTGCTCATATCACATCATTCGCATAACTCTGTGATGTGTGTCAGCCCTGAAATTTGCATAATTGTTGGGCCACTCCTTCTTGATGTTGCATTTACAATGTTAGGTAGTGTAACTAGCAGGACAAAGTCTGCAGAACTAAGTTTGAGCTGTAGGATACGTGTTAATGCCTCTCATTTGTACTTTTGTAACAAATCTGCCACCACCAATAATGCATGCAGCAGTGTTATACAGGTTGATTTAGACACACTTAGATTAAATCTGTTGCTGTGTATTTTTCTGTATAATATTTGGAAGAAGGCATGGTAATAGGTTATTGTTACAATGTTTCAGGGAACTCTGTCTAACATGATGACTCCAGATGATGATCATATATGAAAATTTGTTTAAGCTTCATTTCCATCCTTTGAATTTTCTGATCATGAGAAGTTCTTCATTCTCTTGACTGCAACTTCATTTCAGGATTATAGTTTCTAAACCAGTGCTCTATCAATTTAGGAAAGTAATGCTTCAGTAGCAGACTTCAGTGATATTGCATTTTTTTTTCTGCAAATTATTGCTGTACACAAAGCCATTGGGTATTTCAAATACTGAAAGGGCAAACAATATTAGTGCAAGTTACAGCAATATTAAAAATAGAAGTAGCTTCTCATAGTCTGAAATAAAATAAAAAGAAAAGAAAAGCCGTTGTAACAGCATCTTATTCTCTTAGAGTGTTACAACATTACAAAGTGCACATAAGGTAATAATAGTGATATTATTAGTTTAATTTTTTATAAGAAATTAGACATTTCCCTGTATGCTCTTGTGGTACTATTTAGCTAATTTGAATTAGCTAACTGGACTAGCTAATTTGTTTTGTTCCTGGTCCAAGAAACTGATTGTCTTTACATATTATAAGACATTTTTGAGTTTTTATGTTGCCGTTATGTATTATCAAACTCATTGTAAGTATTTTATATAAGGCTTTTTAGTTTAAATATCTGAATAATAATGTACTGTGACTGAATAATATAAACTTTTCTTTTTTGATTTATTTTTAAATTACAATTCTGTTCAGATTATGAAAGTGAATTCTGCAAGTTTCATTTTGTTAAACAGATATTCTTTTTTGGTACTTATTTTTTCACAACCAAGAATGTTGACTACCATTGAACTATGAAAGTTATAGAGATCCTGCCAAAGTTGCACCAATCATTGCTGGTGGAATTCCAAAAGAACTGATGCCCCTTTATGTAATAAACAATTGTTATTTGACTTACTTCATTTTTGCACTGTATAAGAAGAATTTTAGTGATTTCTACTAATTTGTTACACCTTTTAATTTTACTTGAAGCACCTTTTAGAATGCTATGAGTGCAAACTTCCCTCAGGTATTTGTTCCAATCTATTTCTGTTCTGTTGGCTATATCTAATTGTTCTTCTTCCCATTCAATAGATGTTAATTCTCTCAACCAGCTATAAATGAACTGGAGTGCAATCTCAAATGTGATTCTGCAACCCTCAAACCAAGATTCTTTTTGGAAGGATATTCAGTTATCACAATTTTTCACACTGTATTGCCATTTTTTATCCATTTTTAAAGAAAGTACCATATTGTGTTTATTACTATACTCTGTTTTGCTGACAGGATCCTATATCTTTGAAAATAATCACCTGCTTGCTGTTCTGTATAGGGCATGTTTAAAATTTGAATTATTTTTTCAAAATGCAAGAAAAAATGTAGCAATAAAACTTGATTTATATTTTTGTTCATGAAAACAAAAGATGACTTATTGAGAATCAATCAGAGTTTAATCAAATGAAAACATAGATATTATGAGGGTGTTATTACATCACGCTTAGCTATAATTAGCACAAAATTGTGGTGCATGGCAGCAGCTTCACAGCTGATAGAATGCACAAGTTTTTTTTTTTTTTTTTTGTGTGTGTGTGTGTGTGTGTGTGTGTATCTGGTATTCTGATGTAATTTTTTGATAAATTATATGGGAGAGAAATTTGGTATTTGGGAAGTTTTCCCCCCGTGTAACTATAACCCATGTCGAAAGCAGATTTGTGGAATGCAACATGATGTCTTAATTGTTTCTGTTTCATTTGTTGAACATGAGAATTTCAATTATGCATGGTATGCTGCAGAGTGTTGCCTACATCGCAATAGCAACAAACTCTTTAACAAGCTTTGGGCATACAAAAAGGTTTATGTTATCAATGAGAAATCTTTCAGCATTTGCCACCACTTACTTATAAGTCTACTGGAAAGCAACTAAGTAAAATCCCTCGTAATTGCACAATATGAAAATAACAGTACTTTTGAAAGTCTAGATATAAATCCGAAAATTAGGGCTATGAGGAAAAAGTATGTTATGGGCTAACAGTCTGAAAACTAAAGTCTTTCTGCAGCCTAGCATATCAAGCATTATCCAATTAGTGAATCAAAGAATTGTCCAGAATATAAACAGCCAATCCCTCTTTCTGTGTGTGTAAACTTTGAAAATTATGTCCATGATTTTCAAAAAACAGTTCACAAAGAAACCACTATTCATGTAGTCTCTTTTATGGTTAGATATAAAGACTGTTACATTACTCATTGTAAATTGTACTCTATGATCATGTCTGTGATGATGAACTAAGTGACAATGATTGTCTTGCTTTTAAAACACATCTGGCACTTAGGTCAGATATCTTAAATTTAGTTACGTATTTGAACATTTAGTTGGAACATACATTAAATTTAGTTACATATTTGTCAGGGAAGAAGAGGTGCAGACTTGGATAGATATACAATAATCTCTTCCCTCTGCATGCTCTCTCAAGATGACAGCAAAATAATTGTAATATACTGGAAGAGGAGGAAGATAATGAGCAGAAGCAGTTTTGATGATAAGATAACACTCTGAGGAAGAAAATTATGTTTATTATCTTTTATTTTAAATAAAGATGGCCACTCTTCAGAGAAAATAAACGTTCAAGCGAGCTAAGGTTGGCATGAAAACTTAAAGCATTGTTGTAATTTGCACAATATAAAGCTTCTTGGGAAAGTTGGTTCTGCAGATAAAGAAGCAGCAGAGATTTACACTTCAGTTTTTGAAATTGAAGATGAGTGTTACATTTTAGAACAAGTTTTCAATGCAGATGACACGAGCCAGTTTTTAAAGGCGAATGGGACAACAAACCAACATCGCAAAGACACAAAAGCTTGCACCATGTTTTAAACCTTTGAAAGATAGAACGATTTTTCTTTTTTGTGGAAATGTATCAGGTGACTTCAAATGCAAACCTTCACTTATTTATTGATATAAAATGCCTCATACATTTCAGGGGGGAATTTTGAGCATTTGCTAGTTGTATGGAAGTGGAATAGGAACTTGTATGACAAAAACCTTCTTTAGTAATTAGCTTAAAAATTCTTTCATAAAAGAAGTTAAATGTAGAGCAACTTAGAAGTTCCTGAAACCTGAACTTAGAAGTCCTCCTAATTTTCTATAATGTTTTAAGATGTGGTGTTGAAGCCTTCACAATATTGCATCCAGATCTAAAGGTTTATTTCCTCCCATTGAACAATGCTTCCTTAATTCAATTAATAGATCAAAAAATCATTTAAGCCTGTTATCGTTGAGAAACATTCAAAGCCTGTTATATCAGGCTTGTTTACATCTCTGTTAATTAAGCACTAGAAGAAGGAAAGCATGACACGCTAAGGCCATTTTGAAAGAAATTCAGTACAAGACACTGCATGGGAATGATCAAATTGCATGGGAGCAAGTGAATTCACTGACTCTAAATGCTTGTTAGCATTAACTCTGGTCAAAAGTTGTCAATAATTTTAAAGGATTTCCATCAGTTGAAAATGAATCGTAGGAAATCATACAAATTGTAAAAGCAATTGTTGGCAAAGGATTTTCAGATATTTCGAAAAAAGAGAGAGAGAGATAAAATCAAAGAATTAATCGAGAATGATGATCGTAAAATTAGAAATGAAAAACTGGGTGATCTTATAACATAAGATGACAGTGAAAACAATGATAGTGAAGGTGATAAAGCATATTTAATTTTCAAGAAGTTGAACAAATAGTTAAAAAGACAGAGGAGCTGTCTGATTTTGTAATGGAGATTTACTCAAATGAAGAAAGAAGATGCATTATGAGGAGGTATTGAAAAACTTTGCATTTCTTACTGTGAAGTATTTAATGAATTTTGTCAGACATTGTCCCAAACAAAAATAACTATTTAAGAAAATAATTGTATCATGTACTTACTTATTAAGTAGTAATAGAAATTCTTTCAATTAACATTTGTTTCATTTTATCTCTCTTAATAACAATAATATTTAAGTTTGTATAAATTATACATACTTTTTTTTAGTGTGGATTGTACGTAATCTATTTTTCTATAGAAAGTTAACTCTGCGAAGCTTGATTTAGCCATATGCACAATATATGCACAAATATGTAAATGATGCAACTACCATGTTTTGCAAGGTTCAACTATATCTATAACCTATATGATTTTAAAATTAGTTATAAGAAACTTGCTAAAATGCTTTTTTGATTTATTTATTGCTCTTAGAATTGGAGGTTTAAAATTTATGCAAATAGTTTATCTAGTTTTACATGAAAAAATGATTAGGTAATTAGAATAGTTTATTATATATATATGTCTTTTTATTTTCTATGTTTGAGTTAAATATAATCTCTCTATCAAATATTCCTTCTTAAATGAAGCATAGCAGTATATATAAGTGCCACAAATCATTTATAGTTTATCTTATGTTTGGAATTTTTATTATTTTGCATGTATGTAATGTAAATACAAGCTAAATTTTCTTAGAAATTTTTTTATAAAGTCTTTTTTGGTAGATAGTACTTCACCATGATAAATTAATGTACTAACAATATTTTGGACTTCTGAGTTTAATTTAAAGTGTGCTAGTTTTTAAATTTTAGAGAATGTTAATGTACCTGATAATTCTGTAATGAGTAATAATATAATTTTGTCCACTTTTATATATATTAAAGATGAATCAGATGAAGAATTTCACCTTATGAGAATGGAGAATAGAATTTCTCCTGAGTTAGAGAATTCAACTTTAAATGATAATGACTCCTTCTGCAGTAGCATCAGTAGTGACGCTAGGTCTGATTATGCTTGTAAGATCATTTTCTTTTTTTATTTATAATTTTTTTAAGATAATTTTTTATTTATAATTAATTTTATTACTTTTATTTTGTTTCTAGTAAATATTTCAAAATGAAAATTATTTGCAAGATATGATTGCTTCTTAATTCAATTAGAATGTACTGTTTTTACAGGGTGACAATTATTAAGCTCTATGAAATAAAAAATCAAATTTTCAAAAACTGCTACAACTACAAAAATCTGATTTAATTTATGACATGTTCAATATGCTTGCCATGGCACAGACGAAGAGCAAAATTCTGCAAAACTTGCCGAAATGTCAAGACATTAGTGCTTTCGATGACTTCCTGAATGGCTGTTTTGAACTCAGCAATGTTTTGGGGGTTATTTGTGTAAACTTTTGCCCTTGTGAAACACTGTGTAAAAACTCTTTTTAATATTGCCCCACAAAAATGAGTCATAAGGGTTGAGATCAGAAGAATATGGTAGCCAAGTGATTCCCATTCCAATGACTTCTGGATACCCCAAAGCCAGAGTGCACTTTCCAAAATGCTCTTCCAGGACCTTCAAACACTCTGTTGGTCCAGTGAGATAGTGCTTCATCCTGCATGAACCACATCTTTTCAAAACCTGTGTTACCTTGGATGACAATATTTTCTAAAATTTTGACGTAACATTCTGCAGTCAAAGTGCTATCACACCAATTTTTGTGTGACTTAACATTGCACAGCAAACAGTTACTCATATGGAGTGGAGGGACTTCTCAATCAGGAAATGGGAATTTTCAATCCTTTAAATGGGGGGTAGACTACTTAATTTATGAACATCCAAATAAAGGTTGACTCTATCATTAAAAGTAACCACATACATATCAATTTTTTTCCCCAGTGGTATCGAAAATGGTGTTGGCTAAACACAAATGCTATTTAATGTCAATGGCTGATGAATTTGAATTTGGTATGGAAAGAGCTGCAAGTCTTGAGCAACAATTTATCACAAAGTATCCCAGTTGATTCCAACCTGTTATGAAGCTCACCTGATCAATATTTTTGGGCTATTTTGAAACACAGTTTGTGACAGTTTGTGTTTTCTCATTATTTTCAGGCATTTTCACACTTGCTCAATGACCAGCACTGCCATCAAAAACACTACCAGTTTTCTTGAACTTTTTAATCATATTTTTGATTGTTATAACACTTGGTTGTCTTCAGCTTGTACTCGGTCACAAATTTACTTTGAGCAGCAGTCAGGCTGTTATTGCTTGAATAGTAGGCCTTAATGATGAATATATGCTCAGAAACACTGTATTTTGACATTTTCAGCAAAAAGGTAACCACAGCAACAATAGTGTGTATGCTCAAATTTCCAACATGTCCTGCATTCAATTGGCAATTTTAACTGAATCTTGCCAATACTTTAAAAGTTTTCAAGTGTTTTTTTCTTATAGCTCAATAATTGTCATATTATAATTGCTTTGTGTGTAATTGAAAAATGTAAATTTTTGTTTTGAAATAAATGTTATCAGATGTTACCAATTTTTTTTAAACGAAAGAATAAAAACTTGCTGTGTTATTTTAGTTAAATATGTCAAAAGCTATAGCTAATTCATTTACTTCTCCCTCCCCTTAGTTTTCAATTCCATTTTAATCTGTCATGCGATTAAATCACTTGTCTAATAGACTAAAATTCATTTCTTCTATTAACATACTTATAACAATTTTCATTGCATTGCTTCACTTTAAATAGTCTAACAATCGTTTGAACTGACAAGCCTTGTTAGCAGATAGTTGGCTTATAACAATTCTTGTTTGTAAATAGTTGATAAAATACTAACATTCCAGGTTAGTATATAGTTGATATTTTTTGTTCTAATAAAGTTGTTTGGTATCTTAAAAATTGAATGTAAAATTTTCTTAACCATAAGACTTCTGAGAAAAAATTTTGGAATGTGAACAAATTCTGGGATATGAACATCTACATTTTATACATTCCATGGTGAAGTTTTTTAGGTATAATTTTATAGTCAAATATTAGAGCTGAAAGGGAAATACAGTAATAATTCATTTTTGGCAAAGTATGCCAGAGGGTCACATTCTAAACCACAAAAAAAGTGAGGTGTAACAAGGTAAAGAAGGCCTGTCAAGTGGCTAAGCAGTAAAGTTGCTGAACACTGTTAGTTCAACCTAAGTTTGAACAAGTCCTTCACAAAAGCATCTTCTCCGTCACCAATCATGATCACCGATAAATAGTTGAGTCTCGAGCTGCATGCTTATCATAATGATGTAATGACAGAGAAAACTAGCAGCCAGCCACATTTGGCATTTTCTTAACAATAATTGATAATAATGATAAGTAATTTATAAAAAAAAAGTATTTATGTAAGAAAGTAAAGAAATATATCTGGATGGTATTTTAGAGCTTAATTGATGTACAAAGTGATACTTCGATATATGTCATTAATCCATTCCAAATCTTTGGACAAATACCCAAACAAACACATCTAAGAAGAAATAAAACAAAAATAATAATTTTATTTTTATAAAAATATCCTATTGTTATTCTAATACTGCTTAATAATGAAATACAAAATGCAGTAAGTGGAATATATATTATACATAAATGAAATATTGCACAAAATATTTATCCAGATCAAAAGAAATTCTTAACCAGCTCTGATCTTTGTCTGGCAATGATTTCACTTCCTTGGCAACTTAACTATCACTCTGAGCATAATGGTATGCAGTAGCCAAGTCCTGGATATGCATGCCATCATGATACTTTTCAATAATGTGTTGTTGTTTTTTTCACTTTCATATTGATCCTAATCATTTTCTTAATTGCTTGACTCTTCTCATAAACTTTCTTAAAATTCATTGTTAATGAATTTGAAAAAAAAAATTACGTAAAAAAACACAAAATTACATGGAAATTTAGAGTTTTAATACAAGTTTTTACGTGAATATTAGCAACAGGCCTAATGATACTCATGGGTAGTGCCTGACTCATCAAACTCAAGTTGTATTTTAAACAAGTGTATTGTTTTGCCCAACAATAAATGGGGTGAATAGATGTTGTAAACAAGATACAGCTATCTTTAAATTAATTTCTGACTTGCATTCTAAAACTTTTATTGCAATTTTCCCCATAATTTTCATAAAATTCAACCATTAAAAAAGTATGCACATTTTTGCATTCTCTACTGCTGGGCAAAATACCATATTACTGAAGAAATGTAATGCAGTCATTATCATTGGCCAGCAAACTCTAGAGTTCCATTATTGATTCCTTACAAGAAAAAGAAATGCACTTGATGAATGCAAAAACAAACAGTAATCAGAAAAATTAACCTAGGATTTGGAAGGTGGAAATTCACATTTTTCTGCTGCATGTTTGTGAATACCTGTATTGATATGTAAGTACACTGTAGCAACATCATAGCTTACCGGATAACTGTTTTGGTTGTAATGTGTTGTTGCATGAATAGTTTTCAGGGAAAGGCCAGGTAGTCAGAAAGAACCATTATGTTTTCTGTTAATTATGAATTCCTTCACAACAAGGGATATTTATAATTGGAAAGGTATTTTTAAATTTATGTATTGTATATTTTGTTAAACTTGATGAATTTTCATTAAGTATTATTTGGTGTTTTTCAATTATTTATGTTCTGCCTCCCCTAGATAACACTTTTGGTGCCAGCCAGAGAACATCTAAAGCTAGAAGTAAGTAATTTAATTATAATAAGAAAATTCATTTAATGCTTTTTTTAAACTGTGTTTTTCCCCCCTCTCATTCATGTATTTGTCTTTAAAGGTTCAAGTGTTCAAGCTATGCTTCAAGACCATATGACAGAATTAACACATTTCAGATGTTGCTGTAGTAGTGTCTGCATTATTATCTTACATGATGACAGTGTTCAGGAATCTCTGAGCAATAACTCCAATAGCACTCAAGAACTTGATTTAAAAAGTACACTTTCACTGAAGGATCGAGCTTCAACTTTTTTCAATGATTTATTAGCACTTCAGATGTCAGGATTTGATTTTAAAGACTTTGAAATGGCTAAAGATCCATTATCTAAACTCTGTGAGACAAACCATCTAAGGTTAGTAGCCATTTATATAGAATTATATTAGAAGACAAGTGACATATGAACATTTTGGTGAAATTTTCTCCGTTTTGTTTTTTTCTTCAATGGATTATTATTTTGGAAAGCTCAGCATTAGACAAAATTATAATAGAGGGGCTTATACTAAACAGTCCAGTATAAGTAAATCACAACAGATAGAATGTCATATTTGACTGATGGAAAAATTCTAGATTATTCCATTATTAGCCTGAGGTGCTTGCATCCTAAAAACGTGTAGGATGAAGTTTCAAGGAATCTGGCAGATACGGTCTTTGTCCTTTAGTAACAAGTCATGACTGATATAGTATATTTTGTAGGAATAATGTTCTTTATAGGATTAATGTAACAGAGTACAAACACAAACATTTTTTAGGGATGTTAATGTAGAAAACATTAGAAACTACTGGTATAGATTAGAAATAGAGTGGATATCAAATGCTCAGTTTAATTTTAAGCTAGACATTCAACTGTCCAATTGCCAAATATGAAATATATTTTAGTCAAATTTTATGTAAAAACATTTTGAAATTAATGAACATTACTGAATGTTTTAAATGACGTTAAATATTTATAAATGGAGAGAAATAAATGAAATATTGTAGGATGCTCTGGAAAAGGAGATTCAAAAGAAAATATTTAAAATTTTAATTGTATAAAGAATTATCAATTTTTTGTGAAAGCCCCCATCAATTTTAATTGCAAAATAGATTTGAACCATGTGAAAAGACTATGTAATTAAATTGTGTAAATGTTCTTATTTTAAATGTTTCTGTTTCAGCAGTTTAAAAATTGCCTAAAAATAATGTTGAAATTCATATTTATATTGAATATGTTAGCTACATTATTATAATGCTACTGATGAATTAATCATTTTAGGTACATTAGATTAATTAAACTAATTATCCTAATATAATGAAAATAGTTATCTTTCTCCTAGCTAATAGCTACAGTCAAAAGTCATTAATTCGGACACCCATAATCCGGACCTCAAAGCTACAAACTTTCTGCGCACAGGCGTTTAAGAGTGCACGTAAGACCTTTACGGCTGCGAATATGTTTGTGCGCATGCGCGTTTAATGTGTAACGGAGGTATAAGCTAAGCTAAAATTATCTAATTCAGATAATGTTGCAGATTGCGTTGTTCCTTAATCTTCGAATTGGATCCGGGTTATTATTTTTTGCAGACTGTTAGAGCAATTTCATAAAAGTATGCTTGAACTTTCGATTATGTCAAATAGAATTTCCGATATATATTTACTAATATGTAATTTGAATCTACAAAACGAAAGTATGTTTTGAAATCCGAAATCTGTTTATCAATTTCATGCTGTGGATTGGAAGTTGATCTGTCAGCAGTATCCTTATCTTCAGGGCAGATGTTTTTATTTTATTTGGCTTATAATTCCTTACTAAGTGTAGTATTTCATCTCGATGTACTCCGTCTTTGATATGATTTAAATCAAGTTCCTCGTCATTATAATTCGCTTCCAATAGTTGAAGAAAGTGACCCAGAGGTTACTGAAAATGAAAACATTTCAATTGACAAATTAGTCGGTATTCGAACACAGCAATTATAGGACTGAACAGCAGAACTTTTAACTAAACAAGAAATTATGTTGTTAATAGAATTAAAAGAGAAAGTATATCACATGAAACGAAGCAAATTATATTGAAAGAAATGTTTAATAAAGTAAACAATAAATATTAAGCTTTTTCTTTTTGTAAATTTTGATACCCTTAGATCATAATTGTTCTTATTTCATAATTCGATTTCATATTTTTAATTTTGTAATTTCTTGCAGCCATCTTACCAGATTTAAAAATCTATATCCGAAATCGATAATCCGGAATTGCTGAAGTCCCGACGAGTCCAGATTAACGACTTTTGACTGTATATTGAAAAATGTTTGTAAGAATGGTTATGCTTAAAATGGGTGGAACAGAATTTTGCCAAAACATTCTGAATAATAACTATTTTTATGATATAATTTTACCAATTTTGAATGTAAGTTTAGATTTTAAGGCATCAGTGGCTACTAATTGAAAGTTATTTATATTTATTTGAATATTTCAGAAAAATTGCTAAAGAAATGAGATCATTAAAATCAATAATTTTAGAAGCCATTTCAATATGATAGTAGTATTCAACTAATACTCAGAATCATTCATACATGTATTGTGAATTATTTTATGTTAAAGCCATGAAACATAATCAGACATTTTTCAATGATTGTTGAGTGAACACTTTTCAGAAACAACTCATGGCGATTAATTTCTTAAGAAGACAACCTTTGGAAGTGACAACATTGGCATTGAACACTTTTTAAGACAACTAACTAACTACTTCCATAGAAGATCAAAATCATCTGTTACCATTGGTGGTTGCCATAGAGAGAGCTCATTGAATTTTCGATACCAAGATTTAAAAATCTTTTTTCAGTCAGAATCAAATTATAAAGAATTGGCTGAAAATATTTTACTTTTATTAATTTAAAAAAGGGAAGTTCTTTTATCAAAATCTTCATGAAGAAAAAGCAAGATACTATTAATGTAATTAAAATTTTGTAATGATGAAAATGCTGACAATGATTATAAACATGAATGGCTGGTAGCATATATAATGAAAGCTGTTTCCAAAAGTGAGTGTAAAAAAGGTTGCTAGAAGTAATGAATGAAAACTATTCCTATGCCATAATTTTATCAATTCTGGAAATATCAGAGAATATATAAACTTCCAATAAACTAGCAGTGAAATATTTTGGTACTAGCCAATATTGGTGCTTTTGGTTTAAAAATGAAGGAATTTTTCTTTCTTATTGGTATTTAATTTTCTGGGTAGTCAATAATATTCAGCTGTTTTTGACTGGTTAGCATCTATCCACAATATTCATCGTATTCCAAATCTATGTATTATGCTTTATGGGCTAAAGATCATCAAGAGAAAATTATAAAAATAAGAATATTTAATTAATATTAATTAAAAATATTTTGTGTGTTTCCACTAGTATCACAAATTTTATTGTCCACATGGTGTGTTTCTTTATTATTATTATTATTCATTGTTTTGAAAAATTTGGCTATTGCATATTATAGGTATTGACTGATAAGCTAAATTTGCAGTATACTAATGCTAGTCATGTCATATTATTTCACACATAATTTTAATGAAATTTATTTCATGTTATATAATTTTACCAAAAACAGTTCTGTTATTCAGTTTTTGTTAGTATGCCATCTGTAGTTTTTTTTTTTTTTTTTTTTTTTTTTTTGATTGAGTATAATTATTATTGTCCATCAATCAGTATTATAATATTTCAGCTTTTGCTTATCTTATTCCTGCATTTTTTTTTTAAACCCACTGTAATCTCCTCTGACTATCAAACAGATTAAATAGCACCTTCTTCTTCTTGCCATTGTCCACCTTTGGCCATTGGTTCGTTTGGTATCGTACAGGGCAGCGCAAATGACATTTTATGAATATAGTCTGTTAAGGAAAAAGTTATGTTCTTGTATCAGGAAAGCAAATATTAAGACTCTTTCATTTATTTATTAAGATATTGATTGAGCACATTAGTGAATGTTCTGGACCAATTTGAAGTATACGTGGTTGAAGATAATTATGTTGAGTAAGATGTTTAAAGATAGCCAAATAGAATCAGTCTGGAGAACTGGAGATTTTACTTAGAATAAGAGAGATAAGCAAGGAAAAATCACATTAAATAAAATTCTTAAACTGGCAAAATAGTAGTTTTTATCATCATATGAAAATAAACACTTGCATGAAAAATTTGCAAATATTTGGTTAAAATATCAACTATTAGTTTTTGATCTTCACATACTGTTATAATATTGTGTTAATTGTTTGCAGTGTTCTGTTTTGCTCTATTAAAGAGAAAAGCACTATTAGAATTTGATTAAAATTTTTTTCATAATTTCAAGGTTCATTTTCTCCCCCCCCCCAAAATTTTAAATTGGAATATTTTCCAAATTTAGCATGTGATGTTCTGACATTTAGAGAACTGGCATATGGGAAATTTTATTTTGTTGCTGGTTTTTGCATTGTTGTGCTGGTAGCTGGTTTTTGAAATGTGAAGTTTTTGTTTTGCATTAATCTCAACATAAAAAAGTGTCAGAAGCTGTCGATGTGAATTATTTAAATTCAAATTTATGGGAAAATTTGTTTCTTAAAAGTTATTATTTGAGAACTTGTTTATATATATATATTATTAGAATACTCCTTTTCAGTTACTGTATATGGTATATTATTCTAAAGAATGTTATTAATTATTATATCTTAGCATTTATTAAAAAATATAAAAATAGCAGTGTACTGTAGCAACAAAGCTTCTATCTTAGTATCATTTTAAAAAATATGCAGTATTTAATAATAAGGCTGTTTGCATATGCCATAAATGTGCTAATTATCAGAATTTAGTTTTTCGGAAATTTATTTCTCCATTTATTTATTTTGTTTTAAGGTTAATGGCTTCTTCTGTTGCAATAGATGGAAATGAAAAATCATCATCTGCACAATGCATACTTAATTTCAGTCTCTCTTTGTTTCAATTTGAAGTGCTTGAGTGTCTCTTCGATTCAGCAAATGTTGTTCATAAATCCCAAACACCAACTTATGTTCAGGTAAATGACAGTCTAATTTAGATTTATAAAATTTTATATTTAATTTTTGTTTCTTAATATCAGGATAAAATTTTCTCATTGTGTACATTAGTATTTACTTTGCGGGGCATCTAAAGCATTATTTATTTTCTAAAGGGCAACATTGTAATTGAGAAGAGATTAAGTTTTTTAACTTTTATTTAGTGATTAAAATAGAATATATTTCTATGCATTTTCTTTTTAGAAAATATGCTTTTGGTTAATGAAACAGGGGTTTTAAATCAATATATATTTTTCTTTTTACAACATATAATTTTTCTGAAGCTTTGAGATGAATGAGAAATAGCAATCAAGTCAACAGTTGTGCTCTTATATTTAATACGCCAGCTGCAAATAAATATTCTTGAGGAATTTTCTATAATTATTGTGTTTGGGGTCCTTAAGTAAATAATTACAGTATGCAGAAAGATGTGAGGCCTTTTATTTTAAAGGCCATTGATCCCATGATTGCTAGATACACTATATATTGAAATTGATTCCCATGATTGCTAGATACACAATATAGGCAAAATTTACTACCCTTCAAATCCAGATGTGCTAGTCAGTTTTCAGCAGCTTGAAAAACAAACCTATAGCTTCCCTATAGCATTTCATTCTGTGAATTTTGCTGGAGGTATCAACTGACTTTAAGTTGTTAATTGACTGTGAGTTGATTAGTAGCTTGCTCGTCGGAGATATTTTACAGCATTTTAAGATTCCTAAATCAAAAATTTTGAATGAAATATGTTGCCAAAAAATATATCTTAAATATCAAAATAAGTGCTAAAATAAAATAGAATAATATATCTGAAATTTTAAGCAGAGCCTAATTTGACCACCATAGAAGCAACCTTAAATGTAAACACATGTGCACCTGGGAGGGTGGACATAAATCATGTAGTAGGAATATTTTCCATTAATATTTTCATAGCATTCAGTGTGCAGAATTAAGACAAAAATTACTTTATGTAATCTAAGCTGAAATATTGATCATCATATGTAATTAACTGTTTCATTACATAGTGTTTAATTTTGTGCATTTATTTATGCATTAAAGTAGAAGTGTTTTTCAAAACTTAATTTTGCTATATGTACTTTGTGGGGGGGAATGACACTTCTATATCTCCAATTCTACTGGGTCTATTGACGAAATTCAAATTGCGTTTTCCACGTCTCAAAAGCGCGACTTAGATATATATTAAATTTATACGGTCAAAAGTCGTTAAACCGGACTCGTCAGGACTTCGGCGATTCCGGATTATCGATTTTTCTGGATTATAGATCATCAGTTTAAATCTGGTAAGATGGCATGCAGAAATTATAAAATTAAAAATATGAAACCGAAATTTATGAAATAAAGAACAATTATGATCTAAAGGGTATCAAAATTTACAAAAACAAAATGCTTAATATTTATTTGTTTACTTTATTAAACATTTCTTTCAATGTAAGTTGTTTAAGTTGCTTCATTTCCTGTGACAATACTTTCTCTTTAATTCTATTAAACAGACATAATTTCTTGTTTAGTTACAAAGTTCCACTGTTCAAGTGCTATAATTGCTGTATCGAAATTATCGACTGATTTGTCAATCGAAATTTTTTTGTTTTTAATAACCTCTGTGTCACTTTCTTCACTATCGGAAGTGAATTATAATGATGAGGAACTTGATTTAAATCATATCAAAGACTGAGTACATCGAAATGAAATACTACATTTAGTAAGGATTTATAAGCCAAATAAAATTAAACATCTGCTTTGAAGATAAGGATAGTGCTGACAGATCAACTTCCAATTCATTGCGCACTGTGGCGTTAAAGATAAACAAAGGAATATGCCTTTATCCATTTTTTGCGTAATGGACTTCGAAACATACTTTCGCTTTGTAGATCCTTTACATATTAGTAAATATATATCAGAAATTCTATTTGACATAATCGAAAGTTCAAGCTTACTTTTATAAAATTGCTCTAACAGTCTGCAAAAAATAAGCCGAATCCAATTCGAAGATTAAGGAACAACGCAATCTGCAACATTAACTGAATTAGATAATTTTAGCTTAGCTTATACCATCCGTTAAACATTAAACCCGCATTCGTAAACGCATTTTGCGCACACGCATATTCGCAGCAGTAAAGGTCTCACGCGCATGTATCAATGCAACGCATGCGCAGAGAGTTTGTAGCTTTGAGGTCCGGATTATGTGTGTCCAAATTAATGACTTTTGACTGTATATAACACTATTCTAACATAGGTAGTCTGACAAAAAATAGGACGTTTTCTGAAATAACATACCAAACTTAAAATAACTGTGATAAAGTTAAAATGTACTACGTGTTAAAAAAAGGGGGGGACAGTTCTATATCTCCCGGTCTACTGGGCCAATTGGCGAAGTTTAACTTGCGTTTTTCATCTCTCGAAAGTGCGATTTAGGACATATACAGTCAAAAGTCATTAATTCGGACACCCGTAATACGAAAGGATCTATAATCTGGTCCTCAAAGCTACAAACTTTTTGCACATGCACATAGGCTTTTAAGAGTGCGCCTAAGACCTTTACGGCTGCGAATATGTTTGTGCGCATGCGCGTTTAATGTGTAACGGAGGTATAAGCTAAGCTAAAATTATCTAATTCAGTTAATGTTGCAGATTGCGTTGTTCCTTAATCTTCGAATTGGATCTGGGTTATTATTTTTTGCAGGACTGTTAGAGCAATTTCCATAAAAGTAAGCTTGAACTTTCGATTATGTCAAATAGAATTTCCGATATATATTTACTAATATGTAATTTGTATCTACAAAGCGAAAGTATGTTTTGAAATCCAAAATCTGTTTATCAATTTCACGCAGCGGATTGGAAGTTGATCTGTGAGCTCTATCCTTATCTTCAGGGCAGATGTTTTTATTTTATTTGGCTTATAATTCCTTACTAAGTGTAGTAATTCATCTCGATGTACTCAGTCTTTGATATGATTTAAATCAAGTTCCTCGTCATTATAATTCGCTTCAGAAAGTGGCCCAGAGGTTATTGAAAACGAAAACATTTCGATTGACAAATTAGTCGGTATTCTCAACACAGCAATTATAGGACTTGAACAGCGGAACTTTGTAACTAAACAAGAAATTGTGTCTGTTTAATAGAATTAAAGAGAAAGTATTATCACTTGAAACGAAGCAACTTACATTGAAAGAAATGTTTAATAAAGTAACAAATAATATTAAGCTTTTTTTTTGTAAATTTTGATACCCTTTAGATCATAATTGTCTTTATTTCATAATTACGGTTTCATATTTTTAATTTTGTAATTTCTGCATGCCATCTTACCAGATTTAAACTGATGATCTATAATCCATAAAAATCGATAATCCGGAATCGCCGAAGTCCCGACGAGTCCGGATTAACGGCTTTTGACTGTATTAGATTTATATATGGCATTGTTCTAACATAGGTATTTTGATACAAAATCGGACTTTTTCTGAAATTACATACCAATTCTTTTCCATATTTCGATTCAACGACTGAAATTATGTCTAGATATTAAATTTTGTAACATTTGGTGCAAAATTTACGGAGAAATTCAAAAATTTATCTTGGTGAAATTTTTTCAGTTTGTGCCTAGAATAATTCATTTGGTGAACTTCTTAACATGTGGCAATGATTTTTCCTTTCCCTTCCATTATGCCGGAGTAGAAAAAAAAGGCACCTGTTTCATAATTCACATTGTTCCTACTTTTAAATAATTTTATCAAAGTGTCTAAACCACATTTGATGTTTTATCGCTTTCAACAAATATGCCAAATTTCAGAATGGACCAATATATAATCTATATCTTTGAAAATTTCGAATAAAAAACTGTAATTTTTTGCAGGTATGCTTAGAAACACATCTATTTTAGGATGATGGTAAAATATTTATATATTATATTTCAAAAATTTTTTGAAAAAATTATAGTAAATTTTTAAAATAAATCATAAAAAAATTGGTGAATTTTATTTGGAATGAACCTAAATTGTGAAATGTGGAAGGAAGAATCAAATAAGTTTCATAAAAAAAAAGAAAGATTAGTAAATATATACCAAGCTGTATTACTATTGAGGAGCTAATTTTTTAAAAACTACTTGTGTGATTTTTACAAAACTTAGTAGTTTGGCGTAATTTGAGTTGTAGAATTGAAATATGGAAAAAAATTGGTATGTTATTTCAGAAAATGTCCGAATTTGAGTCAAAATACATATATTAAAACAATGCTATATATAAATGTAATACATATCCTAAGTCGCGCTTTGGTGTCATGAAAAACGCAATTTGAATTTCGTCAATTGGCCCAGTAAAACGGGAGATATAGAATTCCTCTCTCTCTCTCTCTCTCTCTTTTTTTTTTTTTTTTTTCTCAGTGTACATAATTTAATGATAAATTGTACTAAATAATTGTTATAACAATTTTTATTATAATTAGTTAATTGTTATATTTTACTGTATAAATTTCATTATATTAATTAGTATATTGAATCCTAATAATATTATTATAATTGGTTATAATAATTTTCCAACAGGCAATAATTATTATACCAATTTTTTTATCTTTGAACTTAAATGTATGTACACTGCACAAAAAATAAAAATAGGAGAGTCCTATATCTCCCGTTCTAGTGCGACAGTTGACAAAATTCAACTTGCATATTTAATGTCTGCAAAACGTGATGTAGGATATGTATTAGATTTATATATATCATTGTTCTAATACAGGTATTTTGACACAAAATTGGAACGTTTTTTGAAATGACATGCCAATTTTTTCCCCCATATTTCGGTCCTATGGCTCAAATTAAGCCAAAGTGCCAAGTTTTTCAAAAAATGCACGAATAGTTTTTAAAAAATTAGATCTCAAAATTTTAGCTCCTCAATGTTAATTGAATTTGATACATATATTTGTTAATCTCTCTTTTTTTTTATTAAATTTATTTGATTCTTCCTTTCACATTTC